GGGGCGAGGAATAGCCAACAGGTTAGGTGACCGATAGGGGCCTTGGTGCCTCATCTGTTAAAACGAGGTGCACTAATGGGTTCAGGAACCGGGACGTGTGTGCGGTGCTATGTAGGGCAGGGTTTCCCCGCACGCACGTGAAGGTGTTAAAAGGCAAATTCTGATGGGAAAAGATTCTACAGCCTAACGCTCCCAGGTGAGCCAGACGCCTCCAGTCCACAAACCACCCCTTTAGTAAGAAGGTCAATAGGGGGCCTGAAAGGGACCCAAGACACCCCTCACCCATTTGATGTTGGAGACTCAGAAGTCTAGCCAGGCCCCTGGGACTTGAAGGAGCTAACGTGCTCTAGAGCAGGAATTCTCCAGGGTTCATCCACACCGGGACTTCCGACTTGAAAACATTCCTCATGCCACAACACACACAGTGTCCCCCCCTCAATATGTAGGGGACCGTTACTGACCAACTCCCATCAAACGGTTTCTGAATGACCTCATGTAACCTTCACAGCTTACCTACAGAAGGTGATGCGTCATCACCTCCACATTCCCGATGAGGTAGCCGAGGGCAGGCCATGAGTTCTATGAACATGGAAGTGCGGGCTCCTCCGGGACTTGGGAGAAGGGGGCCTGAATGTACCCCAGGGGTATCAGGGAGTCTTCTGGGAGGAAGGAATGTTTTAGCCGAGAGCTGAGGAATGGGGCTGATGAGCTGCAGGAAGGGTGGCAGGAGGTGAAGCCAGAGAGGGGAGAGCCCCCACCCCCCACCCCCGTGGGCCACAAGGGAATCACTGGCTGGCATGGGGGCGTTGACGGGCTTTGCGCGTCAGCAGGACTGCTGAGTGGAGGGTACACTGGAGAGGGGCAAGGGGAGAAGCAGGGAGACCAGTCAGATGGTTAAACTAGGGGTGTCCATGGAGAAGGTGACCAGTGGTCAGATCATCAGTATATTTTGAAAATTGGGTTAGATGTAGAATGTGAGGCAGAGGGCCCAAATGGGCCCAAACAACCAGCATCTTGTTCCTAGCTATCTGGGTGACCATTACCGCAGGAAAGACTCAGAAACTGTCTCGGGGGATGGGGGCCAGAAATCAGGAGTCCATCTGGGGCCTGTTCGTGTGAGGTGCCAGGCAGGCACGTGGGAGCCTCGGGACCAGCAAGCGCCCATAAAGGACCAAGAGGAAGCAGCTGCCGCCTCTGCCCGACTCCCTCCAAGGCTGCCCCTACCTCATCTCTCTCTCCAGAGGAGCATGTCGAAGGTCCTCTGTGGACCCAGCGGTCTGCCATCCTGCCTGGCAGCAACCCCCCTCCTCACCGTCGCCTCGCTGAGGGCTCTGCAGGTGGGGCTGACATGGTTGCAGGATCTGGGCCGTCTCCCTGCCAAGGGGCCAGGCTCACCCCCTCCCGGGAGCCAGGTGGTGAGCATGAGGGCCCTAGGAAACCCTGACTTGAGACGGCCGTGGCCCTGACCAGCTGAGCAGTGGACAAGAGGAGGCTGTGCTTGACTTTCGGCCCAAGGAGAGGCCTTGTGGGATTCAGGCCCACTTTTACCACCCCTCAATTCTTCCTCAGCAGCCAGGACACACCAGATCCCCGAAAGGCTGGGTGATGGAGCTTGGGTCCCCCGGCCATAGGAAGTCGTGGGCAGGGGTGTGGGTGGGGAGGCTGCAGGACTGAGCAAGGGGAGGGGTTTTGGTTGGACTGTGAGGAAGGGGGCAGGGGTGCAGGGCTTGGTGGAGAGCTGGGGGTATTGGGAGGGTGGGGCCACCTCAGAGCTGGTGCAGGGTGGGCCCGAGAACAGCAGAGGGCGCCCCATGGCCCAGGCATCCTGGGGAAAGGTCAAACCTCCCCTACCAGCAAGTCCCCCAAATTCCCACTCCTCCAGGACAAGTGGCACTTCTCCGTTCCGCTCCCAGGGAGCTAGGCCGGGGTCTGGATTCAGGCCCTGCCACCGACTGTCGCCGGTGGACTTCAGTGCTCAGAGCAGCCCTTGTCTAGACAGACGTGGGCAGACGTGGTGGAACTGGCATTCAGAGAAGTGACGGTTGGGAGATGAGGGACCTGGGCGTCAAGTCCCTGGGAGAGAACATCCATGATAGAAAATGCTTCGACTTGAAGGCCTGACACCTGGGTGTGTCCAGCTTGTGGTGACCCTTGTTCGACTCAGTTTCCCTATGACCTGCGGGATCCTGAGGAGAGGGGACACTTTCATTCAGTGCTCCCAATCCTGTGGTCTGCTCAGGGCCTCTACTTTCCTGCAGACCTCTGCCCCATGGGCTCTTTGTGGCCTTGGGCGAGGGTTGGAAATCAAGAAAGGGCCATTCAGGAAGAAAGTCTCCAAACCAAAGGGTCCGAATCCTTTGGACCCAAAGGGTCTCTAATTTTTTATAGCAGACTCATGTTTCTCCTGCACAGTGACCGATGGGCTCCAACCACCCATCATTTGGTTCGCAGCCTGATGCTTGACCTGCCGTGCCACCAGGGCTCCTGGAAGTGTGTCTCGGAGACCCCGGCTCCCTGGCCGTAAGGAGAGGAGGCTGCCCTTGACCGCGCACCCCCGATGGATTGGCCCATGCCCCAGAGACTAGTGCCCTGCCCAATGCCGGACCAACCCAATTTCGGCAGGCGGACACTGCTCAGCCTGCACCCCAGACAGTAACGGGCTGCTGGCGAGGGGCCAGGGTTGCAGGTGTGCCCACTGCCGAGAATGACAGCCCAGAAACAGGCCTGGAAACGGGTCTGCCTGCTGTGGTTTACCACTTCCGAGGGCGGAGCAAAGGAGTCGACACGTCTGCACTGGGGTGCCCACAGGGCCCGTTTCAATGCCAGGGCCACAGATGAGGCCCCAGGTGGCATTTGCAGTCCACGTTGTTCCTTTGACAGTTCAGGAAGGCATCCCGCTCCTCTGAGCATTTCCAGCTCCCCCGGCCCTGTGGCTGCCCTGACTTTTCTCCCGGACTTCCTCCCACATGCCGCTCCCCACCTTCCAGCTCCCTGATGGCTGAGCGGGTCAGTTGAGGGGGACTCATGCAGGAAGATCTGGGGTAGCCCCTAAGGATGGGGCGCCCGGCCCATGCTCCCTCCGCACCCCTGGCCAGCAGGAGCCCAGGCCCCGTGGGAAGAGAAGGGGCCAAAACAGGCTCGGACTCCAGCTGGCTGCGTCCCCTAACCTGGCTACTGGGCTGAATGAGGGGTGCCTACTAGGGTCCAAT